TTAATGCTATACAGTGAAGTCCTCTGCCAACCTGTATGAGCATTAACTCCATGTTTACTGTCACAGCAATAAACTTCCATGAGGCAAGCATAACAAATGAGGAGCTGTTAGGAAGACAAACATTGAATTACTACACTAAGATGTTTAAAAAACAATAGTACAAAAATCAGCCTGGCTGTTTCCTAAACTCTTAAATTAGGCTACGTTTTGTGTGACACGAAGTGCAAGAAGAGGGGATTCTATGGAAAATGCTTTGCTAGCTCTTGCTGGAAGGTAGTTTGTAAGTTCATCTAACAATTAATTCACTACTGATCTCACCACCTCAGTGACAGCATGAAAGCTATCGGTGCTTGGAGCAAAGTGAAAGCTATCCCCATGCAGCATAACCCACGAGATTCATACACTTCAGATTTGAAAATCAAGCAGGATAATGTGTAATAATAGCACATGAGCACATACACCTACCTGCTTTACAGAATTCATATTAAGTGATCCCCAAACCTGACCTTTAACAGTGATTTATAAGCAAAAATAAGGTTTCAGAAGTAATGCTGTAAAGCCACTGCCTGTTTATGACATCAAATTAATTGATGATACAATTATTGCAGACCCAAGCGTTTTGGAGGCTTCTAGAACAGTTTTTGCTTGACGTTATATCTGGCAATTAGTGGTAAATTGTCGGTGAGGTTTTTAATCTGCTAACGTTCAGCTAAGGGCAGGCAGCCAGCGCCACACTCAGTGGAGTTTTCCATCTGCCCGAGCTTTGCAGCATTATCAGGAACAGTGTTATTTCAACTGTGAAAAAAACGGGAACAAAAGAAAGGAGTTTGATTGTACAGATTTCAGTGGCTCGTTCATCTGGCAAAGATCAGCTAAAGACATTGCCTGGCTTTTCCTATGTCCAACTTTGAAACACACACACACACACACACACACACACACAGGCGGAGCAAGCTGACGTTCTTCCTTCGCCTGGTTCTCTCCATGGAGTTCCAAGCCAGGAGACATCCCCGAGCCCCTGTTTTGAACCCGAGATGAGGAATGAAGATTTTAGTGTGAGGTCTCGGAGGGCCCATTCCACCATGCTAGCAATAACAGCGTGTGGGAAGAGGGAATGAACATGAAAGGCAAAACAAAGGTCTGCGTGTCCCTTAACTTATAAAGCTAAGCTTAGCACACTAAGGGTTCATCTCCATCCCAGGAACCTGGATCTCAATGTAGTTAGTGGATTTGCAGCTACATTTGACCTTTTATGAAGCACATCTCGTCCCAAGGTCTTCATGAAGGAAGTTGGCTTCATAATCTCCTTTTTGCAGGTAGGGTGGTCTTGCCAGAGTTCAAGCACTGTCCTTATGGCAGACTGCCAGCTGCTATCCAAATGATCTGATTTCCCAGAGCAAAATCCAGTAGGCAACACCGCCCTGTATGAAACACAAGTCAGGGGTGTTTTGTGTGGAGAGAAGTGACTGAGAAACACCCATATGGGCTAGGTGGACACAAATAGGCTCTGCTGCTACTGCAGCACAGGAACAGCCTATTTCCTTTGCCCCTGCCTTTGTTTGCACCCAGACTAAATGTATATGGCTGATATCATTAAAACAAGGGAGCAGAGCAGGTTTCGTTAGAGTGGAGAAAAGATGCAAACTGGGAGCATTACTTAGTTATCACCAAACATATTTATTCAAGCACCCCCTTGGCTGCTGAACAACAGTGAACTGTGACAAACCTACCATTTTTCCATGTCAAGTGAAAAAATGTGTCATGCAAAAGCAAAGTGGGGCAGGCTGTAAAATGGAGAAAAGATCATTTCAGCTGAATTTCCAGTGCTTTGATAAGAACATGCTCCTGCTGCCTCTCCTTCCCTATCAACACTGACAATTTTTTTCCCCAAAGTGACTGAATACTGCCAGTTAGAATAGCCTTTATCTGGGGTTTTATGTAGAAAAGCTGAAGTGCTGACTCACAGGTCTGCAGGTCTCATCAGAAGTTACTGTTCATCAGTGCCCAGCTCCTGGATGCAGGCCCTGAGGACAAGGCCAGCCGCAGGAGGAGGCATGAGGGTGGCAACACACAGAGCTTACTATTCTAGCCAGTGTTATTTTCATACACACTCCTCTCTCAGAGGATTTAGGCATTCATTTTTGCCTGATACGGTGTAAGAAAATATGAGGATAATGTAAGTTTCACAGGTCAGGATTTAAAAGCTTCAATCTAAATGAGTAATCCTACATCTTATGTAAACATCCATTAGTTAGATATCAGATACAGAATTCAAAAACTCTACTATATATTTAAATCATTTTGTAGTTCAGAGTCTTGCATTCTTTGACAGATACATCCTAGACACTCCTTTACTAGACCAGAGCTAAGATCCAGGTAGTAGCAGTCACAGAAAGATGGAAACAATGCCCTGCATGTGAACATTTGAAAAAGAAATACATATATAATTCAATCTCATTTCTATAAAAATCAAACATTTTGTTGCAATTTCCAAGCTATTGACAAAAGGGGGACAACTGCAGATTTTCAAAACACGGGTCTAGGATGACAAAACCTGACCAGGTTTTCCCTTTTCTAGGGAAAAAGGGAGAGCTGGAAATCCAGGCTGTACAGTCAGCCAACATACTGGTTTACAGCCGCCCTATACCAGCCATATCTAATTTAGCAAAATCTCTCTCTGACAACCTTAGCCACAGATAGTTACTGATACAGAAAGAGCTTTTCCAAGGGAAAGCAAGCACAAGGGTGCACAGTGTTCATGGAAATGACTCTGCTGACAAGCACTTTTCAATACAGCTTCTCCCTCTATGACTCTGGTAGGCCTGATTTACTCCTCCACCTCCGGCTTTAAAGAGAAAACCAGCACCAGGAGAGATGGACACAACATTCACAAAAAGGCTACAGGCATTTTGCTGGCTTGCTGCAACTGAATTCAGCTTCCTCTAGCAGGCACGTGCGGCTGTATTCTGCTGGGCATCTCCAGCATGGCTGATTTACAGCTGGAAAAGCAGAGCTTGCTGCCTCTCCTACTTGGGAGATAAAATCTAATTCAAGGGATGTCCCAGTACTGTTCCTTGGCAATTAATTTCCTCAGTGTTTCAAACTGAACAAAAGCATGCTTTCATGTTCAGACTGTTTTATTTGTTTCATGCTGCTTCTCTCCAGAAGAACTGCAATTTTGTGCAATGCTGAATTTCTGTTTGAAAGGGCACAAGAGGATTAACTAATTTAAGGTGAAGAAATTCTCAAGGTGGAAGTTCTTGTATTTCTATGGCCAGTAGAAATTAGATGGTAAAATAAAGCTTATTTTGAATTTGAAGGCTTTGAATCACTAGAAACAGATTTACTTTTCAGAAGATTAATTTTAAGAAAATGAATCTATATCTCTTTGTGTGGATTTTTAATTGTCAGTTTAGTGTAGTCAGACTTGCACAAAAACAAGCTGTGCATTCCATACCAGCTAAGCATGAGCCATTTATACCTAAAATAGAAGTTTTCAAAAGCAAATATGAGCTAAGGAAGCCAACCAGGATCAATCAAGAATAAAACCCAGCAAGGGTTTCCACGCTCCAGATGCACAGCTTGAGCTTCCCCCTTTCCAGCCCCAGACACTGACAAACAGAAGGACAACACAAAAACAGAGCACCTTAATGTGTCACTTCTGAACATACTAAACATGCCAAACATATTCCCTCAAGGAAAGCATGTATTTGCATGGAGGGCAAGGGAAAAGAGAGTGACAGGGCTTCTGGCATATGCATCACAGCTCCTGCTGCAAGAGATGTAGCTCCTACAATACCAACAGCAGCAGGCATTTTTTCTCCCTGCTGGCTGGGTGTTTGCTCACATCTTTTCCATGTTTTTTATGAGTGGCCTTCCACTTTGCTCTCTATCTTTCCTGCTCATCCAAGTCTTCCTTCCTCTTCTTTCTTTGCTGCCCATAATTAATTCTTCACACACCCCTGCCATCAAGTTCATTGGAGTTCCCAACAAATGTGGAATGCCCAGGACTTGTCCATCACTGTTCAGTCACTCGAGTTCACGCTGTGACCCTCAGAGTGTCCAGGGCCCTGTAGAGGGGCAGGCCAGCAGGTGGCTGCATTCGAGCTCATGACCATTGAGGAGAGCAGAGCTAACAGCAGAGGTGCTTCACACCGACCCTGGGCCTGCTTGTAGGGACCACAGCTTCTGACAGCAACACCCCACACACACCCAGCCCCACTCTAGCACTGCCAACATAGAGCTGCATGGCACAGCCTTCATGTGCCATCCCGTAAAACCTAGGGAATAGCCAGGCGCTCACCCGCCCTGAGGTGACCTTCTCAGACACCTTCTGCTCATCTTTCTTCTTCTTCCAGGTGAAACTCAAGCTTTTCTCTCTCACCTTTAAGAAATTTGCACCCATCTCCTCATTCACTGCCACTCTTCCAAATGATTCCTCTGTTTCCATCTGAACTTCCTCCTGCTATCAGCACCACAATAATCATTTCTGGTGCTTTGATTGTAGCACAGCAGATCTTCACTGCTAATTAAAGGACATCACTGGGCCTTGATCATTCATGTTGCTGAACTGTTAGTTCTTTCCCTGGCTCTGCTTTAGACTGATCTTCTATAAAACTGTTATTCTTAATATGGACTAGGCCTAAGCAGGACCTCCTTGCGAAGAGGAATCAAACTGGTCCCTGCCATATTATTTTACAGAATATTGATAACCTAAACATGCACACTACATGGCACTACAAGAGTGATGAAAGCCAAAGAGAACGAGTGTGGTAAAACCCTCAAGAGATGCAATTATATTACCGCATTTCTCATTTACTAGTTTCATATCTGTTTACAGGAGCTGAGAATGAGCAAGAGCAAACGGCCTGTGGAGACATCTGCAGCAACATTCTGTGGAAATTAAGCAGAAGAAATTGTGAAGTCTAGACTTCTTGTTGGACAAGTTCAGAGGCCATATACTCCAAAGCCAGACACATAATTTAAGTATGCAGACTTACCAAAACATATAATTAATGATGTTCACTCTTGAATTTTTCAGTAGACTTACAGATTTCTTTCGTATTAAATATACCCAAAACATGCAAGAAGATATTCTAAACAAAGAAAAGTAGTTATAATCAACACAGACTGTGAACAGATCATGAGTGAGTTTGAGGGAGGCCTAGGTGCAAGTTTTTTAAGCCTTATGGAAACATATTCTCTTCAGAACATAACTAAAGCTATTTCGGAAATATGTACAACCAGGAAATGTAATTCTAGACCTTAAAACATGTTTAGTCAGTTGATCCAGTTGCTTCCAAGCCATGGCTCTTTAACGCTGAATTTGCTAAAGAGAACCCTGCTCAGATAAATAGCTGTCACAGACAGTCATGCACAGCAGAATACTACAAAAATGCAGTAAAGCTTGCAAAGCCTCTGTTCAGACAACACACAGAGCTGCTTCCTCTTCAGCTGGGAGCAACTTTCCAAAGCAAAGCACTAAGCACCAAGGTCACAGCAGTGCGCCAAGCACTAAGGTCACAGCCCTGAGGATGATTTAGGTTGGGAGAGAGACCTGAAGGGAACGTGGGATCACACCCTGCTCACCACAGGCCACCAAGACGCGGTTGTTCAAGGCTTGTCCATGAGACCTTCATTTATCTCCAAGCATGGACACCCTCTAGCCTCTCCAGGATACCTGATCCAGTGGTTGACCATCATCATGGAGGAAAAAGAAGACCCTAATATCTAATTATTATTATTGCCCCTAATATCTAATCAGAATTTCTCCTTGCTGCAGTTTGTGTCCACTCTGCCTCTTGCCTTTTCACTGTGCACCACCAAGAGCCTGGCACTGCCATCACTGTATCCCATCATTATGGGGCTGTAGGCAGCAGTAAGACTCACCTCAGCCTTCCCTTCTTAACACCAACCAAACCCAGCACTCCCACACGCTCCTTATTCACCATGTGCCCCACCTTTGTGACCCTCCAGGACACCAATGTATTCCTTGCCCTGGGGAGCCCAAAACTGGATGCAGGACTCCAGACGTGGTCTCACTAATGCTCCAAGAGGGGAGGGAAGTGTCACTTCCTTGATTTGCTACTTGCACTGGTGCTAATGCAGCCCAGTGGTCCTCCTTGCCCCAGGGCATGCTGATCACTCAGGGACAACGGGTGTCCCTAGGTCCTTGTTGGCTGTGGTGCTTCCCAGAGAGCTTCCTCAGCTCCCGGGGGTCACTGCGCATGTGCCTCCAGTGAACTTCATGTTCACGTCAGCCCCTTTCCTCACTTGTTAAATCCCTCTGGAGAGCAGCCTTCCCATCCACATAGCAGCTATTCCCGACATTTGGGATCATCTGCAAACTGCCAGAGAGCTCCCTCTCTTCCATCATCCAGGTTGTTAACAGAGATGTCACAGAGATTCGGGCCCAGCACTGAGCCCTAAGGGACGTCACTAGTAACCAGCCCCCGGATGGTCTTCATCCTGTTCATCCTTTGGAGCCCAACTGTCCAAGGTGGTTCTTCTCCCATCTGGTTGCCCACCAGTGCAAACCACAACTCTCCAGACTCCCATTTCAGAGTAAATTTCCATGCATTCAAGCCACTCCTGTGTGTACAATTCCTCCTCATTCCTCTTCCCAGCCTGTCCTCCTGAGACAGCCTGCATGCATTCATTACAGCATTCTAGTCATGCAAACCGTGTCCATAACCCCAGTGAGTTCACAACTCTGCAACTGCCTATGAATTTTTAATCCTTCCTGTTTGCTTCCCACAGTGTGGGTATTTCATGGTCAGGCACTTGAGGCTGACTTCAGTCATGCGGCCTTCACAGGGAACCTCTTCCATTATGTTGCCCTCTAGACACATCGTTACCAGCCCCACACATCTACACTCAAGATACACCCCCGCTAAGTCATTGGTGCCCATTTCAATCAGCAACAAAGGGCACAATTCAGGGGGCCCATAAGCCTTAACAGAGTCTTCATAGTACCCTAGATCTGAGTCCCTGACAGGCAACAAATGTTCCAGGAAATCAAGCCAGCTTGGCAGACTAGCGCTATGCCTCCATCCCACACACAAGGGAGCCTCCAGCCACCTCCACCCACTGCTTCATCCTCCATCTCACACTTGATTCAGGCTCTGGTGTCTCCGGAGCCTCCCCTGGCAGCGCTTGCTCTTCCTTGGCTGTTGCCATGGCACTAATACCTATCCTGCACAAGCACATCTGCAGGCAGAGATGCCTTCCATTGCCAGCAGCTTCCAGCCTTCCTGATCTTGGCAGTCTCTCATCTGAGTGCAGTCTCCAGCTGTCCCTCCTTCCATGCAATGTGGGGACAGCCCTCTTGTAATCCATGCAGAGATACTGTCAATCTTCTGTTGATCCTCACTGGAGCTCTGCTCACCTGCTGCAGCCCAGCACCTCAGCCACAGTAAAGCCGAAGAGATGAGGCCACCACCATGGTCTGCTCCAGGCTTGGGGAGAAGCACCAGGTGTTTCTTGCTGCCCAGGTTTTGCCACCTGCTCTGGAGCAATGTGTGGGTTGAGGCCTCCAGTGTGCCAGGCATGATCCCTCCAACCATTGTGGCCCAACGTGCCTTGCTCTGCATCGCTGCACCCTCTCCAGCAGTCTCAACTGGTGTCAGGTCCCTTCTGTACCCTCTTCCACACTAACTGCTCCATGAACTGCCAAGCCCCTGCTAGACACCCCATGTCACAGCAGTCTTGTAGTGTTTTAAGTCCTATAGGCAGAGATGTAGACGCAATACAATAAAAAATGGAAACCTTTATTTGAGTGTAAACTCATCATTTCTTACCCACTATAGCTATAAATAGTTCCTCTCCCCAAAACAGCAAAGCTGTTTTACTGTTTCTTACACACAAATCCCTTGTTTTTTGAAAATTGGTGTTCTCTCCAGTACAAGCACAGGGGCATTTATCAGCATGCAGAAGGCAGGTCAAATACTGCTCTTCTTCCAGATAGCCCTTAATCTCAAAAACATAGCGCAGTTTTATGACACATCCTGGGAAAAGGTTCTAAGACAATAATACAGAGAATGTGTTCCACAAAAAAAAACCCCAAACGACATTCATTAAACCTCCCCTCTTTCCAAGCTGTTTCTTTAAATACAAGTAGAGGAAATAAGTGAAGAAGCTGGGAAAATTATAAGTCACCATTCCCAGTCTGTAATTCTGCTTTTCTGAAGAGAAAAACACATTACTTCTTCTCTTGAACCACTGGATTTCAGGTGCATAGATGAGGAAAGTCAGAATTTGTCACCACAGTGTTTATTTCTGACCCAAATCTGACACTGCACTACAGTTTCTGCCTCTCTAGGAGCTTTCCACCTTCAGCGCTACTGGAACAGAAAACCTGCCGATTTTTGGGCAAATGTTCAAATCTACAAAAGATTTTGGCATTACTGCAAATATAGAGATATCTGAATCAACACTTTTCTGCTGAATATTGTAATATTAACTCAGAGAAATGACTCTTAGCTCTGTTTGCCAAAGGATCTTCCATGGTAGCAAGGTCATTTTCAAAGTGAGACCTAATCTGCAAGACTAGATCTGCTTTAGCTGACCAGGAGAATTTCCACGTTTGCAGGTCGAGGTGCAGGCACCTGCCACATAACAACTCCATTTCAGGGCTGAACTCAGACATCCCCTGGTTACTGTTGGTGTGGAATATGATAAAAGCCCATGGTGTCCACTGCAGTAGCACCTCTGTCCAGGTGATGAAGAACAGGACCCCAGCAAGGTAAGCATGGATACAGCTTGTCAAATTGTAGAGAAAGGAGTTTATTTCCCCCCTGCAGGAAATATTTTGCATCTGAATGCACATGTGCAAAGAATGATATTTTTGTGCTCTCCTTATTAAAATTACTTTTTCCAGTGCAGTCTCACATCTCACAAGGCTCCTTCAACAGCCAATCTGTCACTTCATTGAATGCTCCTTTCTGTGTAACTGCCCTGTGCTGCAGATGATGCACAAGTTCTGCAATGTTCTTGTAGCCATCCACATCTAGAGAACCTACAGACTGGCAGCCTACCAAAACTGAAAATTGTGACTGTGCTGTGTTTGGAAGAAGAGTATCACTTGCCTCTAGCTTTGTTTCTTCAAGTGACAGAACAGAAAAGAACCTTCAGAGGTCACCAAACCCATCCCTGTTCTCCAGGTCATCTGACCGTGTCTCTCCTTATTACCATTCTCTTCTGAGTTAGAAACAGAGCTAACTCTGGTAATCACCAGTCCTTCCACAGTTGTATATTATTTTATAACACCAACATATGTATGTATTGTTATAACAGCTAGTTATAGACAACTGGAGAGTATTTATTTCTACATAAGGGTTGTAAATAATTAGCAGAGCACCACTGACAGCTACAGGGCTATACTGGAGAGTGGGAGAGAAACTGTGAGCAGAAAAGAGGAGGCAGGGAAGAAATACAAGAAAATGAGAAGGAAAAGTATGCAGTTCATGGAACTAGGGTTCCTGAGGACTTCACGGAGCAGAGGAGGCAACCTTAGCAAATCAGAGGCACCTTATGCATACATGTAAAACCTTGTACTCTAATGCTGTAAATGGATGGACATTTTTGCAAGAGTGTTGCACTGCATTAACCTCAAAAAGCCTCAGCCACGTAATTAGGAATAGCAACCATGGTGTCACAAACATACCAGCAATGAATATTAAGTAAACCAGAATGGTCCTGGTGATGTAATAACCACAGAAAATACCAACAGGCAAAATTAAACTACTTCAATCCACAGGGATGAGAAATTGTTGGAAAGTACATAGCCTTTATGAAAATACTATTAAAAACACAACAGCCAAACAATCCAAGAAAATATCTCAAGGTCTTTGAAGTCTTAATATTATCAATATAGTTTAAACAAAAGGCTGAATACAACAATTCACCTGATTACCTGTTTCGGTCATCATTTCTCCTTTGGCTTCCTCGGCCCTGTCCCTATTTCTACACGCCATGTGAACTGTGCCACCTGGTGGCTTTCAACAAGAAACACGGTTGACAATTTTTGGCTAAATGTGCACGGCGGGGAGGATGTGAGCAAGGAGATGGACGAGGTGATCTCCTATCCGCAGTTTTTGCATGTGCTGAGCAGGCAGGAGGGGAGCGGTGGCTCCTCGTCAGGGCTGCTGCAGCCCAGCTCTGTGCAGCCCTCGGGGCTCCCGTGACCCTGCAGAGCTGGGAGCGAGGACCCAGCACCCAGGTTTGCCAGGCAAACCACTACACAAACGGGACACACCAAGGATCCCAAGGTCGGCCAAAGTGCTCAAGCAAAGGTATTTTAAACAAAACATTCAGCACTCGATAAGTGAACTAGCAAAGACAATTGAAATATTTCTGCTTGGCTCTGGTCACTGCAAAGGGAGATAGAGGGACAATGTGTCCCTCCTGGGGCAGGGAGGTTGGACTAGATGATCTCCAGAAGTCCCTTCCAACCTCAACCATCCTGTGATTCTGTGACTGTGTGAGAAGGTAACTGCTGTAAGAGGCTTCCAAACCATGGCTGTGTGTAGCCGTTGCAGCGTACACACCGTCTGCTCAAGCCAACTTCTGTCAAGTTGGCATGTCATGTTTAATGTAGATGAAATACTAGGCCTGCACTAGAATTAAAGCAAAGAAAACTGTATGATAAAAGCTTCTTATGCTGTATGGCCAACAACTGTAAAGGGTTGAAGGGTTGAATAACAAGTTATTTGAATAGTTATGTAAAAATGGGAATAAAAGACCAGATATCAGATTTATTTTCAGTAATGGCAGAGGATGTGATGAGAACCATGGTCACAAGCTGCAGTTTGGGAGGTACAGGTCGAGTTTGCGCTGGGAGATGAGGGCAGCATTTCATCCGGTTGTCTCAGAGGTGCTGTGGAATTTCCATCCCTGGCGAGCTATCAAAATCCAGCTAGACAAAGCTACTGCTGATTTGATCTAGTGTTGGCAACAGTCCTGCTTCGAGCAGGATGTCGGACAAGATGACCTCTAGAGGTCACTTCCAACCAATATTTCAATGAAAAGAATATGCAGGACATATTCTGCATATTCCTCTCACAGAACTGGACATCTATCGTTGATTTGTGGCTTAGGAAAACTGAAGAAAGCCTTCAAAAACAGGACTAATGTGCAGGTAGGTATGCTCTTTTATTTCTATACTGTTCTCTAATCATAACAAAGATTTTTTTAAATGTTTGAATCATAGGAATACATGTACATTTTACTTGCACGTCTTTTTAAGAGTGTTCTTAGTTTCTTAGCACTCTTCTAATGCTCAGAAATTAAATATAAGAACTATTAAGTGTACCCCAGCAAGAGAGCTACAATAACCTAGCAATATGGTACACGAGAGCATTCATCCATGTGCTACACAGGCCAATTTGGGGATTTTTCCACTGAACCCCATTATAGCAATATCCTTAGCATGCAGCTGGCAGGGGGATACAAGCCAGGAGGATGCTCTGAAAATCCCAACAAGCTGTGAATCGTTCACCACACTGAATGAGTTGGTTAGGTTACTAATGCTGAATGCACAGCTGTAGTCAGCAAGGGGAAACTCCTCAGCCTGGGATATCGATACACATGATAGTAATTGATTTTTAGTACAAGTTTCCCTCTTCTGGGAACACAGGTTTGTGTTATAAATGTGCTGGGCATGAAAGAGACTATATACAGACAGGCCCTGAATGTATACATGTCTTTGCCCCAGGGAGCTTAGATTTCAGGAGTAAGAAAGAAAACAAGCATCAGGAGGGGCAGTGGCGTTCAGGGCTTGCATGTCTGCTCACTTCTCACGGTAAGTGGAAAGGAAGGCTTTAATTAGAGACCTAAGTGCATTTGCAGATGTTCAGAGAACTATTTGCAAAGCACATGGCACTGCAGAGAAGACAATACAAGCCATGTGTACCTGTGAACATTTAATAAATGAGTAGCCTTCAGGCTTACTGGGAGCCAGTTATTTAGTCCACGTTGAGATGTGTCCTGCCAACAGAGGTGGTTTTGACTCTGAATAGGATTCCCTTTTCTTACTGTTAAGAACACAGAGCAGTTGTGGTATGATGCACTGCCAGGAAAGGCTTTTCCATAGTAAATATCTGAAGTTGCTGAAATTTAAATAGCACATGTGAACCATAGAGTCGTTGGGATAGGGCTGTATCAAAATGGAATTTACAGTTCATAAGAAAGAGGAAAGCACAAATGTGCAATACCCGTAAGACATTGATTCTCAGGAAAGCTGAACTCAGGCTAGAGAAGGTTACAGCTCAAAGCTGCAGTGATTTACAAAGCTGTGCAGTGCTTGAAAAAGCCAATGTAAAGTGATATACCAATGTGGCCATATGTCAAGCTATATTGACTTGGATATTCTTTTGTTGAGTTTGAATTCCTTATTTTCTTGTCATGATGTGCTTGAAGTGATTTAACTAGGAGCTAGAGTTCTCATAGCTGTCAGGAAGTTCCAGAGTGGCCCTCTAAGTCCACAGGGCCTGGACTTAGTCAAGAATACACTGATAATCATTTAACCTGATATCTATAGCAGTTCCCTTGAAGAGTATCAGAGAGGCAGCTTGAGCCCAAGAACATCTTTTGGTCTCCAAATACTAGCCACAGCGACCAAACCTCAGAAACATAGTCATCTTGAAAGCATGCATAACCTGACAGACCTACTTGTGACAGAACAAAGCAACTCTGTGTAAAACAGCTATAATGGCAGTACTCTGAACTTGAAATCATCTGTGGCTTCAGAACCAACAGGGATCTTCAATTCCAAAAATTTTAAATTAGTTGAAGTTAACCATGCCCAAACTCTCCTTCCTAAGGCACTTCCTAGAGCCTAGGCAGGCCAAAGGAGCCCCACAAGCTCCTCTCTTTTATTCCGCATGCCAAAACTCTTGTCATTCTTGCACCACAGGAATTATTTTGGTAACTCTGAAAACCTGAAAAGGATTATGTTTACCTTTACATACTAGCTAGTTACAGCTCATTCTTCCTTAGAGACAGCAATAGAAGAAAATATTGCATGCACTCAGTTAAGGGACCTAAACTCCAGATTACTGTTGTTAAGATCAAGCACAACTTTGATTCTTTTATATCCACCCACCTCAGTTTAGCAAAGTCAATTGCATTTTTTGATCCTATAACACAATTGGAAGTCCTTCAAAACAGTTTAAATCCTGCCAGGCTGCTACTTGCACTGAATCAGCCTTAAAGGGAGCTTGATCCATCACTGAGATCTCTAGATGCCCCTATAACTTACAAAGTATTGGTAATCTTGCATTTGAGAAAAAAAATGTAGATTTCTCCACTTTTTTGTTTGTTCTCTCTTTATTTCCAGTTTTCACCCTACCATGCTTAAAGCTCCAATATGTATCACCAGCCCTGTAAAACAACCCTTGGATGCTACTTATAAGGAAGCACATGCATCTTCAACACCTCTACTAGGAGGCCAAATTCGCCTCCATTTCTCTCTTCTGCAAGGGGTTACGAGCACTCTGGCTCCTCTGTCTTTGCCAGGTCTTTGGCCACGACCTTGCCAATGCTGCTCGTGGCTCTGGTGACCAAGAAGGGCTATTCAGCCATGTCCACATCGATACCCGTGGGGCTGAAGTGTGTGGACACCGATGCGTAGCTGATCCTGAACAAGTCAGAAGAAACTCGTGAGAAGCACAGTATATCACACATCCATTAAAATAAAATTAATTAATTAATTAAATTAATTAATTAAAGGTGGGGAAGGTTTGCAAAGTGCTTCTTGATGCTGCCCAGTAAACTTGACAGGATTCAGCTTCCATGGGGAGTCCCTCAGTATAGGAGGGACGTGGAGCTTCTGGAGAGGGTCCAGAGAAGGGCAACCAGGATGATTAAGGGAATGGAACATCTCTCGTATGAAGAGAGGCTGAGTGAGCTGGGCCTGTTTTCTCTGGAGAAGAGACGGCTCAGAGGGGATCTGATTAATATGTATAAGTTCAGGAAGGGAGAATGCAGGGAGGAAGGGGACAGGCTGTTCTCACTGGTGGCCAGCGATAGGACGAGGGGTAATGGCCACAAGCTGAAACATAAGAAGTTCCGTCTCCAGGTGAGGAGCAACTTCTTTCCTGTTAGGGTGACAGAGCAGTGGAACAGGCTGCCCACGGAGGTTGTGGAGTCTCCTGCTCTGGAGGTCTTCAAAACCCGCCTGGATGCCACCCTGTGCCACATGCTGTAGGTGTGCCTGCTTGAGCAGGAAGGTTGGACTAGATGATCTCTAGAGGTCCCTTCCAACCTTAAATATTCTGTGAATCTGTGATTCTGTGAATCTGTGGGAGTGAGGGACACATCCGTGAGCAGCAGCTTTCAGAAATAAGGCTTTAAAATCCACCTTTCCTGGCATATGTGTATGGGGGAGGGGGTGTGTTCCCTTAAAAACAAAAGTGAGAAAGATTAAAAATGGTTAAATTAAACTCTGTCCCTCTCATCCCCCAGTGCCATCGGTACTTCGTGCACCCCCGCAGCCCCTTCACTAACCACGGCCAGGCGGTACCAGGACATGGTGCCGCCTCTGCTGCTGCCACTACAGCCATGGCAGCCCCACTTCTGCCCTTATATAAAGGTGCCCACTTGTTAGAGAAGGGCCCAGGAGGAGGGAGGGCGCCCACAGGGTGCCGCCATTACAGGGCGGCCGCCTGCCCACCTTTGCAGTGGGCTGGAGATGACGGCGCTTCTTCCCGGAGCCCTTGGGGCCTTCGGCTTCCTTCCCTCTCTGCCTCTCCCTTTGGTTCACTTCCTTCTTAACCAGCCAGCAAGGAAAAGGATCTGTGTGGAGCTGCCTGATCCGGGGCGATGGCACTAGTTTGGTCACACTTTGTCTTCACCCCAGCGCCATCACATTCCCTCACGGCCCATGGCTGCCTCATTCCAGCCACAGCCCGGCCTGGTGCCTCTCTGGCGCATTTTAACCCTAAGGAAATTGCCATTATAGGTATAACTATATTTATGAACACACTAAAGGAATGTAGAATTAGGGAGCTCAGTTTGGAGAAGTTACATGAATTCATGGTGGTGAAAGAAAGGAGGGACTCTGCCTTTTCTTGACCATATTTATGGTAGTCTGACCTGCTTTTTGCAGCATTTAAGGATGTTGCTCAAGTCTCCCACTTAGAGAGATGCCTAAATATCAGGTTCTAACCCAAGAGGTGGTTCCCATCATGGAGCTGCAGCTTTGGAGCTCAGCACTGCCTGCATGTCCTAGGTGCTTTGTGTGAAATGAGGTTTCCCAGAGCGCAAAAGGTCACATTTTCACAAAGGTGTCTTCTGCTGTGCCCTGATTGTCCAGCTAAAGCATTTGCAAATCTGAAAATGCTTGTTCTTCATATTAAAACATTTGAATTTATTTGAACACTCACAACCCTGGGTCATTTTTATTTAGTTCTTGCAAATAGCTAGGACTTCTTGCCTAAAGTGTTTCTAAATAATTCAGCCTGATTTTAATGCTCAAAATGAAGACTTCTGGCCCAGAAAGGAACAGCTTGGCAATAGTGTGAGTGACACCATGTTATTTCCTGTAATGGAAAATGAATGGCAACCTAAACTACAGCTACATCCTATGATATCTTTAAGTATATAATTGTAAGCAATATGGAAGTAGTTCTGTGATCATCACCTACCAAGTGCAATTTGCAACCCAAACTGTACAGCCTAGGCTGCTGTAATAATGTTACATAAGGACATTCAGAGCAGATGTTCAGCTTCTGTGAGTCCTGTGCTTCATCTTCAATAAGACTCCCTGAATCCCCTATCCTCATATCTCTTTAGTTCCTCCCTTGCCTTACAGTCTGCATAAATCTGCCCGGTTACTCTCCTCCAGAACCAGGTCTGGGAAAACCCAAAACACGTGAAAACCAGAAAGTAATGGGACCATGATGCCTGCCCATATTAATATCCAGTCACAAAAGTGCAGCACTGCCCCACATTTTAATGCTAGTTAGGAACTGTCCTCACCTTGGTTGTGTAGCCTTGAGCACACCTTGGGATGCTGTTACTAGACCAGTAACGTACCATGGTTGCTTACCCTGCAGAATTAGCTGCCTTCTTTACAGCAGATATGCTTCCAAATGGAAAAACATCAACAAGTCCCAAGCACATCAAAAAAACAATCAAAGTGCCTGTGAGTAAATGCAATCAGCCAGGTCATGCTTTATTCTTTTGTTTCTTACGTTACCCTGGTTATTTGTAGGCACTCGGACTATAGCTTAGTACAAAGCAAAAATGAGCAACAGCTCTGATGTGTTTTGCTTACCATTCCAGTCCAGGTTCTCACAGACCAGGAATACATCCCTGCAGTTGTTAGATCTCTCTGAAGGTAAATAGGGAGTATGCAGAGACAGGGTGCTGCCTTCCTTGCAGCCTAAAACGTTCAGCTTGATACCGGGTAGAACACAACTGAGATACATTAACCACCAATATGAGTAAACAGGCAAAGGCTGTCCATGAGTCAGACACAAATATAAGACATCCAGACAATGGAGGTAGTTTATAATAATTTGGCTTTAAGCGGTAATGAGAAATGATAGCATATTACTTGCATTATTTAACACTGGAGTCTCAGGGAAGATATGACTTGCAGGAAAAGATTTGAATGTAGAGGGGGGTCAAGCATCACTCTGGTATATATACAAAATCCTCTACGGTTAACATATAAATACAATAGTACCATTACTGTGGTGCTAGCCAGACCCTTCTAACAAATGCCATTTCCAAGAAATATTATCAGCATGGAGAAATGCTCTTGACGTGGTAGTGTCACAATGCCCAAACACATGGAGCTGAAAGATGTTTGCTTACACTCACATGCTCATGATGCCAATCACGAGGGTCTGAACTTGCACCCAAAAGGGAATCTTCACATCACCGTGTTGACACACACATACATAAATATTTCAGCCATGAAATTCTCTCTGCCTGACTGAGCAGCATCATTTCGGAACCAGCCTTTGAAAACTGGCCTCGCAGCTAGATCTTTCTGCATCCTTATTTCACCTCCTGTGATGTTTTGCTTTTGTGTTGTCCTTCCAGAAGCAGGAGATTGCAGAGACTGAGTGAATGCTCTCTGCTAGCCCACCCATCACTGCAATGAGGCAGCGTGTGTCTTGTGCCACAGGGAAGCTATAACAGTTTTCCTGCTAATTGGGTAGTGCTAGTGAAGGGCCTGCCTAGCATTACTCTCACAGCCAAAATTTCCATCCACATCAAGAGTGTTGGCTGCACATTGCCTTTTATACTGAATTCTAGTTCGATACACAAGTTAGCTGAGTTAGAATCCATTCTGGAGTTTTGGGACAATCGGAAAGCTGCGGTTTTCGGTTCCTTTCATGGTTGATATTAGTTTAGCATCAAACTCAGAGAGCAGACTGTCCCAGATGGGAGGGATTTTTGAGGATTTTTTCCCCTATTTGAGCACAGAACAAGACAGCTTGTTCGAAGACAACTTCGATGTTTAATCCTGATACAGTAGACTCATATAAATTGTGTCCCTTGAGGACAAGAACCCCTTAACTATGTCTACCCTATCACATAATTCACAGTGTATTTGTAGGTCCTGATACTACTATTGCCCATACTACACAAATGTTAGTTGACTCTCAGGCTCTCGTTAGGTATTAAGCAGTTGTTTCTGTCCAAATCAAGCTAAAATATGTTTGGAGAATATTTTGCTTGAAGGATAATTAATTTCCAAGCAGTATGGGTGAAACTGGACTCACTTCTTTGTCCTGGCAGTGCTTGCACCTTCATGCATCCGTATATGTCCTTATCCCAAGGCTTGTGACACACACTCTCAACTTTGTACAATAAAAATGCCTCTATTTTTAGAGTGCATCCCTTGCTATTTTGGACACTTTAAAAAGGTGGATGACAATATATGCATATATTTATATGTCTGAAGGATACCACATTAAGCCGAGGGAAGAAGGGAGCCACTGTGCACATCTGGGTCTGCAGTCAGGGACCCCTTGTTCAGGTAGGTGTATCTGACAATGTAGAAGTGACATCTGAGGCTGTTAGGTGGSYTTYCMWWAAMCMAAAAAAAAAAAAAAAAAAAAGGRAAAAAAAAWCTGGAGAGTTGTGTTTTTGACTCTCTGAATATTAGTTGAAAGAACTGAGACCTTCACAACTTCTTAAAACACAGCAGCTGGTGAAAAATGCCTCTCTGTCCCCCCACCTAGAATAATTGATAATTATACCTAGAGTTCATCCATCTTTTTTCTTTTCCTGCCAAAGAACTGTGAGTTTTAAGCAAAGTTTTAATTACCTCCCAAAACAAAATAATCATCGCTGCGAAGGGCTGTGTGCTATATGGCATTTCAGCTTGTTTGGTATTTCCAAAGGACAACTCTAAAAGGCTCATAGAGTACTCAAGAGCTCAGTAGTAATTATACATCATAAAAGATATTTATGAGCAGCTTCAAGGCCATCTTACGAAGCCCCTCTATTATTACTTTTTGGAGCAGCTAAAATCTCTGTCTTAGAGACAACCAGCTCCTTTGCTGGCTCCTTACAGATCTGGCAGGCTGCTTTGCCTTCTCTCCTTTCCTTGCAGTTACCAATTTTCTAATTAAGCCTCTGCGCCTGCCCCCATTAAGTCAATCAGAGCCCTGCTGCTGATTGCGGTGGGAGCAGGAGCAGCTTTTAAGGGCCGGAGCTGCAGGAAAGCTCCATGCCTATAATTGGGGACGGCTTTTCAAAGGAAGGGGGAACCACGTGCAAGTCACTGTTGTGTCAGGAGCCACTGAGAACTGAGTGTTTGCTTCAGCTGTGGGTGCTGAACGCTTGACAACTCCTGCTTCAGAAACCAGTGCTGCCCCAGTGCCTATAACGATGGTTAAGGGCTGTCGGCAGCTCTGGATAGGCAGTCGGCACCCTTCCCTTTTCTCTGCTGAAGCATAGGGTTTGGGCAGTAGTCAAAGGGGAGCATCCAGGCCCTGGAGCATTCGGATACACCGGAATTGTTTGCACAGTTAGCGGGCAGGGAGAAGACAGTTCACTGTTTGTGAACAGTGGGACGTTTGCCTTGCAGGGCCCTCTCAGAGCCGGGCCAGCAGCTGTCAGCAGCAGCAGCATGGGTGCCAGGGAGCAGCCAGGCTTTCCACGGACCAAATGGCCTTTTGTTCCCGAGACACAAATGTGGCAGCGAGTCACCAGCTCTGCTCAATGGCTCCTTTTCACCCAGCAACCCGGGAAAGGAATCTCAGCCTTGGGCTGCTTATGGCAATAGGGATTTGCTCTACGGCCTGCTTGAGGGCCCTGGTCTCCTCCTGGTGTCTGAGACCGCAGGGCCTCCCGTGGCCCCACATGTCCTGGCAAGGACGGGGGCCACTGAGAAAACTGACTGAGAGCAGCAGCTGAATTCCTCTCCTGCATCACACCAAATAGCTTATATACATTTGTAAAATTGCTTTAAAATGAATGGGAGCTTTGTAGCTGATTTTCACCTCAGAAAATACTTCTTTTAGTCCCTAAATCACAATTTTATGCCCATGATTGGAAGATAATCT